GGTTTTTAGTGCGGTTCCGTCGTAGCCGTCGAGACGGAAACTTGAGTTTATGGTGCATTTCCGTCAACGTAAACCCGAATATAAGGAACGGAAACGCCGACTTTAACATCCGTTTCCGCCATGTTTCCGTTTGCGTAAACTCCGAATTTCGCCCTGTGTTGTATTTAGAAGACAAAAACGAATGAAATCTTTACTTGAAGGTATGGATGCAGTTTCAGATGGAGTCTTGTTTTCTAGCGAAGAATTTCTGCGAAGGCGACGACCAGCACGTTTACCACGGAAGCGAAAAATATTTAATTCTTTAAGCAGTGAACAGCAATTTGGAGTTTTAATTGTAGACTGGCGGTGAAATTTATAGAGATCAGCTGAAGAATAAGTTATTTCAGGAATCCGACGAGATCTTGAGGAAGAACACAAAGCAGAATTCAAATTTGATAGATCAACGGACACATCATGGATCAGTGTTGAAAAATTATGCGGAGCTCCATTAACTTGATTAGCATGCAAAGGAGAACGTTTACTTGACAGAGTTTGACAATTAGACGATGAACAATTCAACGAAGCACAAAACGATGATGAGTTACAGGAGTTAGTAGACAGCACAGATGTGGAATTCAAAATTAACGGTAATTGATCAGAGTTACTTTTAGATGTTGTAGGGCCAGGATTAAGTTCAATGTCCATAGAAATAGTAATATCAGTCGGCGGGTCATGTCCAGGAATAGATAGAGTCGTACCGCCATGTTTAGTTGTCTTTGTAACAGCAAATGAGGACTTTTTGAAACCAGTAGAAATCAGTTTGATACACTTGAAACGTAACGGACGATACGACGAAAACACAAACTTTACAATAATACGTGCAGAAACTAAGGAAGAGGACGAACAATTATGATCACATTGACCATAACTTTTAAACTGAATGTAGGAATTTAAAGATAATAAAGCCAAAACAAAATAAATAACAAGAGTATGCACACGGCATACTTTAGCGGCCGCCATTTGAGGCGCGCGAGGAAAGCTTAGACTTCTTCGACACTCTCTTTCTCTTCTTCTTGTCTTTTSTTCTTCAGATAAAGATCGCTTTCCGTTAGCTACCCGTTGATTTTCCGACATTTGGAGCAGAAGTAAAGTATTTGAAAGGACGAAAATGGAGTCGTTGCGGCGAAAAAGTTGTTTCAACAATTGACGCCATGCCAGCGCGACAGTCCGCGAGCGCGCTTCGTTTTCCCGCCTTCTCAAAACTAGCCAATCAGAATCGCGATGTACACGGACGTACGGACGTACGGACGGACGTACGGAAGGACAACTGGGCTTCCTGTGTCGGTTGATCAAAACTCAACCCCATGGGTTTACCATTTTTCCTTAGTTATGGTGCTCCGCTATAACGATAGGAATATTCGCGAAGACTACTTTCGCCGTCAAATGAGAATGGGAAGAAATACTTTCGATCTTCTTGTGAACGTTCTTCGTCCATATGTTCAACGGCAAGATACAAGGCTGAGAAAATGTATCTCGCCAGAAAGAGTAGTAGCAATAGCAATTTACCGCCTAGCTCATGGCGGGACTTACGAGAATGCTGGTGTTGCCATGAATGTAGGCAAAACTACCGCATACGAGGCTTTTTGGGATGTTGTTGAGCGGCTACATGAAACCAGGGGAGAACATATTAAATTCCCAACAACCGTGGCTGAAACTGCTGCGGAAATAGAGACATTTTCGCCGAGCAATTGATGGAACACGCATCAAAATAAAGAGACCACGGCAAAGTGGACATGACTACTTTAGTCGATATCACCAGCACGACGTAGTAACGCAAGCTATAGTCAACGGAAAGATGTTATTTTTAGATGTTGCGACCGGTTTTCCTGGCAGCATGCATGACGGCCGTGTGCTTCGTAATACTGTAATTTACACAAAAGCAGAAAATGGAGATATTCTAGCCAATGGACCAATGTTTCAGATTGGAAACAGTCCATCCAACCATACCTTGTGGGTGATAGTGCTTATCCCCATGCACCATGGCTACAGAAGCCTTACCCAGAGGGAAGTGTGGATCCTGATGAAATACATTTTAGTCGAGAGCTTTCTGCAGCTAGAGTAAAAGTCGAATGCGCTTTTGGGGTTTTGAAAGCGAGATGGAGAATTCTAGACTTCATAGAGGAATGCAATGTCCAAAAAATATCTCAAATTATCATGGCTTGCGTTGTGCTACACAACTTTTGTATTCGTATGGGCGACAATTGGGATGAAGACGACACTCCGGATGACAATAACCCACCAAACCCTAATAATAATGTATTAAGAGACGGAGATTATATTCGAGAAATCTTAAAAGATTATTTGTAATCAGCTTTATTGTCCAACTGCACATTACCTTCATGTTTATATTCATTTCTTGTAATAGTAGAACAATTATATTGAAAGCTTTATAAAACAAAACACAAAAAGTACTGTACTTTTTAGGCATGCAATCTATAAATATACAGCATGTATATTGTAAAGACTTACATGATAGAATTGTAATCATACCTGTTAACTATTCTCTAACACAACTGAATTAAAATGTCCAAAATTCTTGTTACACTTTCAACGTTTTCAACTTTCTTTACTTGGACATCATCTTCAACATTGCTTCCATAAACTTTCCCATCATGTCGACTTGTTTAGACTGCGTCTCTTTCATTTTTTCGATCACGTCTGTTATCTTTTCACCCTGTTCCCTAAGCGATTTCGTAGTATTATCTTCATCGTCGCTGTCTAGAGTCGCAGTTTTCTTTCGCTTTCGACTTTTTCTTTTTTTTGGACCAGTATCGTTAGTACTACTAGTATCGTTAGTACTACTAGTAGAAGTGGAACTTTCATTAGAGGTTGAGGCGGTACATTTGTCACTGGTACTCGGTACGGCTTGTGATTGTTCAACATGTTGGAAGGTAACTACGTGCCTCGCGCCAAGAACGGCATCAATTTCGTCGTAAAAGGGTGATTTCTTTAAATTTCCTCCAGACTGCTTCTTATTCCAGTCCTTTTTCTCTTTATATTTGTCCACAAGATACTTCATTCTGCGTTTACATTTATCGACAGTTCTATTGTTTTTGTAGTGCTCATTGAGTATTTCAACAATCTTGCTCCATGTTGTTCTTGAATCCTTGCTCTCTAGGCGATCGTGGTCTTCTGCCCATAAGTTTACTAGCAGCTTTGTTTCATCAAAATCAAAAATATCATAAGATTTCGATTTAGCTGCTGGTACTTTTCCCTTGCCTGTACCGGTTTGCGCGCCATTTTGTACTTGGCTTATATTGACGGGAGCTAGCGGAGTGCTAACCATTTGCGATTCATAGAAATTGAATTGACCCGGTTGTGTCATGTATCCAAGATAGCCAGGGTTCGTTTGGTAGTTTTGAGAGTCGTATTGATCATAATACGCACTCCATTGACTTTCATCAGCACTCATGGTTGTATTGGATTATCGTGTGAATGACTCGCTGAACACGATGGCAATTACGATATCTTAGAATTTGATCTGCTGAATGTCATAATAGTTGACAGTTTTGACGTTTGACAAAAATTTGACCAGCCTCAGAGCAGGCCGACGGAGTCTTTGAAGTTTGGTAGCAGAGACAAAATTTGTCAAGAACTAGAAAACGCGTTCGCATTTGTCATAGACTCTTGATGACAGATATTTTTGCAAAACAGACAAAAATTAGCCTAGTGCGAACGGGCCCTTAGACTTCTTCGACGCTCTCTTTCTCTTCTTCTTGTCTTTTCTTCATCAGATAAAGATCGCTTTCCGTTAGCTACCCGTTGATTTTCCGACATTTGGCGCAGAAGTAAAGTATTTGAAAGGACAAAAATGGAGTCGTTGTGGTGAAAAAGTTGTTTCAACACTCCGCGAGCGCGCTTCCTTTTCCCGCCTTCTCAAAAGTAGCCAATCAGAATCGCGATGTACACGGACKGACGTACGTACGTACGGACAACTGGGCTTCCTGTGTCGGTTGATCAAAACTCAACTCCATGGGTTTACCATTTTTCCTTAGTTATAGTGCTCCGCTCGCGCGGGCCTTTGGGAGCTCCGCTATAATAGACTAGACTGTCAATCAATTAGTACAGTGTTATTGATTTTCAATATTCCTTTTCCTGGTTGATCCAGCCATACGGAATAAAGCAGAAATGTCATCATTTCCATGAAAAGATGGAAAGTCTTGGAAAAATATATTAAAAAGTCGAGAAGATAAAGCACCTCAAATTTGTGAAATTCCATAAAGAAATGTATGGTGAGGTTAAGATGTATGTCTTAGTGTAAATTTTGTTCTCTTTGGTGTCTCGAAATGATTTTTCACAAACTTGGAAGCTTTATTATTTCTAATGCTAAATATAGTTATTTTAAAACTATTTTCTTGATTCCGAATGTCTGGATTAACTGCCTTCAATGATGAAAAATGTTTGGCGGCCTGTCATGTACATACCAAGTGCGCTATGAGATGTCTCTGGCTGAATGCCAATGTTTGCAGCACTATAAATAATGGACAAAAATCAGTACAAAGTAAATGAATGTCTTGATTTTCTACATTTCACTTATGTATCTAAGAGTTTTATATTCTATTCATAGCAGCCATATCTTCTTGGAGATCCGTGGATGTTTGCGGTCATACGCGTTCTTTTACTTGGCTTCGATTGGTCGAGGTAGACTTATTCAATATTTGATGACATTTCATTCAAACTATAGAGAATTTGAATGGAGAGCATTATACTGTGATAGTTGCCCAAACAGGATGACATATATATAAAAGGGTGGAAACTCGCGGTAAACTAGTGTGTAAAGTTATTGCATACGTTTTGTTTATAATAGTATTTCCGTTTCCGTTTAGTAGTTCGTTTCCGTTTCCGCTTTAGCTTTAGTTCCGTTGTCATTTTAGTTTTCCCGCGTGTATTCTAGTTCTTTGTATTATCAGTTTTTTGTACTGTCCCACGAAAATTGTGTTCATGTAAATTCGCTTAGTATTAGTTTGCTCTCGTCTTCGTGTTGTATATCATTCTGTGTGGAACTGCGAATTGCGCTACAAATTTTGTACTTGGAGTATCGCCTTTGTGTGGGACAGTCGGTAAGTTTCGTTTTCGTTGTATTTGCTTGTAATCGCTTCTACAATATAGCTTGTATCGTAACTAGCGTTTTCTCTGTATTTGTATTGTAGTTTTACGTCTTCGATATTCATTAAAATAGTCAGTAAATACACGTCCCGAGCCTAGCTTGATTGCGTTTGACGATACTCCGCTACATAGTGTGAGCTGCGTCGGTGTTTCTAATGAAACAGTTGTATAAAAAGATAAATAAAACACCGTAAAAAAAGTAGTTGAAATAACTTACTGAAATTATTACTAGTATTTTATTTATTTTATTTAGTGTTATTTTTTATTATTATTTAACAATACTACAGACCCTTCCTTAGGAAGCTTATTAGTAGGGGTTTTAAGGGTTTTTTAAAACTTAAAAGTTTTAAGGGACATTCAGTTTCCAAGAGCAACTATCACAGCATAGTGACCAATATTTAACATTTAAACAATATTATTCAGCAGCAAAAATTTTCGGAAAAAATCAAAAATATTCTTTGCACTGATAGTACCCCTAAACGGCGGACACTATCGCGTCACGTATGGTCGACTCTCCACTAATAAAAGAGGGGAAAAAAATTGTTGAATTATAGAGCCTGTTATAGCACTTTCTATTCTATAATTACCGTTTCCTTCTGATTGCCATTACCAATACAATCAATACCACTGCTACCAATAAGATGATTACGCCTCCTATTGCACCTCCAATCACACCGCTGTTATCCTTGCCAGATTGATTACCCACAGTACCTGAGTATTGCGATGTTGGTTTGACTGTTGTTGGGTTTATAAATGGACCTTAAAATCATAAGTACAATTACCATTACATATGTTTCCATTGCCACAAGGTTGGCGATGAAAAAAGTGATTTGTTTTAAACATATTTATTCCTTTAGCAATTATCACAGTCACTCACATTTGAGTTTTCCTCTCACTTTTAGTACCACACAGTAATCCTTTCTAGTACATGAAATTCTCAAAGTGATGATTTTCCCTCGTATTGATGGCGAGAAGTCGTCAAACTTTGTCTCCTCAAGGCTCTAAGATATAAAGAGGTAATAAGGACTAAGAATTATGTGCGTTTCTAGGTAATGTGCGTTTACATTATCTGTGCAAGTATCCTACGCCAACTTGCATCACAACGTCCCCATTACTAACGCTCTAGTATTGTCAGCTACCTAAGCTACCTGTGGTCTATCGCGCAGAGAAGAATGTATGTAAAGCTTAACTGTATGTAAATTTAAAAACTTTAAAATAAGTTAATACGAATAAGGAAAACAAATATCCAAATACTAGAGCTAATAAAACTTTCCCATCTACTCACATGTAGATCATATACACTACGCCAAATAAAGTTTGGCACTAGTTCAAATCCATAGTGTGCATCTTGAATTTGTTGCCATTCTCCATTACAATCAAGATAGGTAAAATTTCGATTAAGGTGACAACTGTTGAATACACTGGTTTCAATAGGTTGACTCAAATCGGGGTCGGGTACTGTATAAATTGAGCTGTCTAAACTTCCCGACAAGCTGACAGAGCATTCTTGAGCTTAAAAGAACAGATAATGCTATTAGAATAAAACCAGCTAACACATGCACGCTTCTCTATCCTCCACCATCTTTAGTAAGCCTAATTGAAAAAACATGGGACTTACAAGGGGGGAATCATCAAATCCAATCCCAAGGGGATTTTGTGTACACTGGAAATTTTTCCATTGGGATTTTTCGAGAGAAACTGAAACTGAAACTGTTTTATTATTGCTCATTTGCTTTTGCTTTTTACTCGGGGTTCCTGTGGAACGCCGAGTATTAATTTCGGCTTTATTTTTTTTTTTTGCATTCATCGCCAAATCGCGGCCAGACTAGCCAGGCGTTCCTAGCCTGTCTTGTCTCGTCCCATGCTTCAAGTGCTAATTGCATCAGCTTYTTCGTCGATGGGYTTATGGTATTTCTTCTTCTCAAAAAATACGCTCAAATCACTCACAAATCCACACGCGGTATAGCCACACTAAAGGATGTCGACCGTTTTCGGAATGGGCTTTTTGAAAACCGCGAATAAATCAAGCTTATTGTGACTTTTAAGTTATGATACGCAAGCCATTTTAATCTATCCAAAGCCGACCAAAGCCAGTCATAAACTACAGGCCTTCTATCTTAAAAGCTACTGATATTCAAAGCTCTAACTACTATGAAAGAACAATAGACTCAAGTGCCGATTGTCAACAAAACTGTACAGGTGAAAGTGAAATAATGAAGGATTGCAAACAAAGGATCAGCGAATGGTGTTTGCGTTAGACCAAATCCGGGACCAAATGTCTGTCAAAGTAAGGACAACTCTTGGTCAACAATAACAATATTAATACATTTTCTTTTTTTACTATTTTCAATCCAAGGAAGGTTTTTAGTTTTACTTTATATTTGATAATTAAAGTATTTATTATTCTTTGCAATAATTGCGGTAAATTTATCAAGTCAAAATTATATAAGTCTTAATTATTATGCTATCAACTGGACTGAGAATTTATTATATTTTTTGGTCACGGCAAGAATAAATGAAACTACATATTCTATATGTATCATTAAACCAAGAGACTACACTAAAAAGAACCCCGAGTGCACGCTGACAAGCGTCTTGTTAGTTAACAAAATAAAGTACTTGTAGCAAAAAAAAGTAAATAAGTTTGAAAAATGTGTAAATTTGTTGTAAAGAAATAGAGCAAGAGGGCTAAATTAACTAATTTTTCTAGTTAGAACCCTTTCATTTAATGCTACCATGGAAAACAAAGGTAAGGAGGAAAGCATATCAAAGAATTGTTACGTCATTCGTGCGGGTTCCCTGTGCTTTTTAGTTTTGGGCTTCCTTTAGAAAATCCATGCCATATATGGAAACAAACAAAATGACCGATTGTCGAGAAGTGTTTTCGCTACAATATCTGCAAGTTTCAGACGATTTCACGCTTTAAAAGTCGAGAACATCGCCAAAAACCAGTCCTATCGTACTTCCAAATAAGGTAAGATACAGACTTTTGCAAAAATTATGAGAATTGTCTAAATATCTAAATATCATAATATCTATA